TATATATATATATACACATATTAAAAAATACATTAGCGCATTCAAGCTGAACAAAGCTGCTAGCCTGCTCGCCGAGGGATTGAATGTAGTTGCTTGGATCTATAAGTAACAACTTGAACGCATTCATTACCTATATAATGGTCAATTTCAATTTGTTGAAATGACAGTGTATCAACTTTTGGATTCAAAGGTGGTGGAGGAGCTCTGCTCCATTTTGCAGATGTATTTTCTTGTTCAGGTCCCTACATAAAATAGAGTTATTAATGAATAATAAATCTGTATATATATTATCACATATAACATAAAAGATATAAATTGTATACGTTTATTTAAATAGAAAATTAATTTTAGATTAACAAAAATACGATTTAGACATACTTCTCCAATTAACAGTGTCTCATCTAAAAAATCTTCATCTGCAAGATCCATAGTGGCCAGTTCTGCCTCAAATGAACTAGGCTTCTCCTCATCTTCATCTCTGTTTGACAAGATTAATATACAAATTTTTAAATTTATTGTATCATACAAGAAAAATATGATACTGTAGATATTTAATATTATGTAATTTTTCAAATCATAGTAGTTAAATACAAATCAATATCTCTCAGTCGACAAAATTTTATTAAAAACGTAAAATAATAAATATTTGTTTAAATTTATTGTATACTGAAAGAAAAACACATTTCTTAAATAATACTAAATTTTAAATTTAGATAAATATAAAGCAAGCATATTTATTTAATTAAATGATATTAAAAAAGTATTAATGAATGTAATAGTATTGTGATGAATTGTTAATAGCTGAAAATACAATGTAGACAAAAACATAGAGGTTAACAAGCATTAAATTTACTAGCGAGACAAATAATTACCTAAATTTGGGCTTCTTCGCTACCGAAGGTGCTGAAAATGGTTTTCGATTTATTTTACTCATCTTTTGTTGTAATACGTAAAAATTATACGAAAACACAAGAAGCCGAACTCCTCAATCATACGAAGAAAGGCGGGAATGGTTTTGTGGCGCAATTTGACTATTAGTCTGCACTGTACACTTTAAAGTACAAAAAAATATATGGAAGAGTATCATCAGAGAGAAACCTGACAGAGGACATGACGGTTAAAAATCTGTAACTGTAAAATGCTGCTGCGCACTACCGCCTCTGAAGAAGTGGATGTTAACTACACAACAATATGTTCTCTCTGCCGTCGATATAATTCCATTAAATTCATTTTCCAATGCCGCATATATTATACAAAAAACCTAATGTCGTTTTCATTTCATACACAAGTGAGCGTAATGATTATTAATATATTTAATATCTAACAATAAAATAAAACTCAGTAGAGTAATATTGCTATATTAATATTTTGATTTAAAATTTTATTATAGAATTTTAAATAAGTATATTTCTATACTTGCGCAGTGTTTAAATGATCCACATAATTATAATTGCTTATTATTTTATAAGTTCGATTTTTCTTTCATATAATTTTTTCGATAACCAAATTTATTTATTCTAATTGGTCTTTAATTTTTAGAAAAAATATTCATAAATCCGTATTCAAAACACTTGTTTGAAATTCTACAATATACGTAACGTAAACTGTAGAAATGTACTAAATACATGCTAACATCATAAAAGCTCTTGCCGAATGGGTACAAATTTCTCTATCTCTACGAAATGCACGGCTCCAAATTCCGAGAACGACTGAAATTTTTTGTGTAGCATTTATATACCATATTCGAAAGCTAGCGCGGACCAATTAGCATCCGCAGCGATTAGGCATCGCGCTCATTGGCTGGCATGCGAGTGGTGGGGTTAGCCGGTTGACGGCTCCTATAAATACCGCGTAATTCGCGACCGCACGGTTTTGTGACTCGAGCAGCGGATGGGAGTGTTTCTTGTCATTTCAACATTGCAAAAGTTCGGACTGTCGCAGCCCTGTCTTCGAATCGATTGTCTTTTCTCCATATTCTAATCTCTGCTGAATATAAAACGACGTTGAAACAGTTCGCAGCCCTGTCTTCGAATCGATTGTGATTTTTTCTCCATATTCTAATCTGCTGAAAATAAAACTACGAGAAACGGCACGAAAGGATCGTTAATCGTTGGATTTCTTTACTAAGGTAATCAATAATCAACTTTGCCTTTACTTCTCGTAACAGAGTAAATATTGCGTATTGCAGAGTCTAGTATAGTACTAATACTGATTATTCGGTCGAAAGTATGTGGCGTCGTGTCGTCGCGTCTCGCGTCATTTTTTACGCGTGAAGTTAACCGCACACAGAAAAAGACGCCGCTTCGCCATTTCGACATTCATATTTTATTCGTGAAATGCGGCGAATAGGGGATAACACGGTGGAATCTTCGAATCGATTGTGATTTTTTTCTTTATATTCTAATCTCTGCTGAATATAAAACGACGAGAAACGGCACGAAAAGATCGTTAATCGTTGGATTTCTTTACTAAGGTAATCAATAATTTGCCTTTACTTTTCGTAGCAATGTAAATATCGCGTATTGCAGAGTCTAGTATAGTACTAGTACACTGATTATTCGGTCGAAATGTAGTGTCGTGTCGTGTCGTCGCGTCTCGCGTCACTTTTTACGCGTGAAGTTAACCGCACATGGAAAAACACGCCACTTCGCCATTTCGACATTCACATTTCATTCGCGAAATGTGGCGAATAGGGGATGACACGGCGGAACGGACTGGCTCTCAAACAAGTGAAAACGCGCGATCAAGTAAGGTAATTAAAACCTGTATAATACCTGAATGTATAACTTGAATGTATATTTTATACGCGATATTTAACTACCGACTACAGACTATTCAGTAACCGTTTAAACGCGTATTTCGCAAAACTTGTTCGCCGAAAGTACATCGCTTGAATAATTGACAATGAGATTTTCGAATATCAATCTGCAATACGGAAATAATAAAATAAAAGACGAGCGTACATTATAATAATATGCGCTTGCCCTTTATGATTGTTATTTCCGTATTTCGAGCATCAGATATATCTCGAAATACGGAAAATTCATGAATGCGACCAAGAGTGAGAAGTGTTACTATATCGCGTTGTTCGCGTCGATTTTGGTATACGAAGTTAACCGCGCAAAAACGAAGCTGTCTCATCTTAATTACAACTACGATTCATTTACACATCTCGATGCGCAAATATAATTAAGAAACGAGATTGGCATCGATCAAATGATAATTGAAACTTAAATCTATATTTTTTGTCGTTTATTGCAACACTTGTTCGCGCAATTACAGATTCACTTATAAGTTATAAGAGAAGGACGCGCATTATCACCGTGCCGCGACAGCACGCCGCCGTGTCGTTCTTGGCGTGTGAAATTGATCACGCGAGAGACAAAATCACTTCGACACAATAATTGTATTTATGTTTTATTTGCAGAATGCGGCGAATACGAGATGGTCGACTCCAAATGAGTGGCGTCGTGACTTATTGAATTGGTAAGCAAAATTTATATTAATTTTATATCGATAATTCGTTCAAGCACGTATTTGACAATACTCATGCAGTCGAATAGCGTTTCGTCTTTGATGTGTAAAGTCAACTGTCCAGAAATTTTTCGCTATTTTAGATGCATTCCAATGTTCAAATTTTATTTGTAAAATATAGCAAATATTAAACATGACAAATTTTCTGCGTTCTTATTTTTTTGCTATCGCAACATGAACTATATCACATCTAATTAATATTGACTATACGAAAATATTACATGGTCGCATAATATTTAGGGTGCGTGTTCACATTTTCATGCTCACATGATGTAAGCATTAGTTCATCCTTGTTTATCAAATATCAAATAAAGATAAATAATGTTTACAAGCATTGTAAGCGAAAAAGAAAGCGCACCCTTAGCAATTATTTGCAACTGCATTTAATTTTAACAAACTATTTGTTTTAACTGATAGATGCTGTCACAAAGCAAACAATGGGAAGAGAATAGAGGTGAAAAGCAGGCTTGACAATTTTGCGAGAAGAAAGAGGAGGCTAAGGAAAAGAGCAATGGAGCAACTTTGCAGTAAGCAAACTTATTTTATTACATTAAAAATAATAATTTAAAAAAAATGAATCTAAAACATTACAGAAATTTATTCTTATTATAAAGATCATTTTGAGAAAATGTATAATTATTTTAATGGATATATAATTGAAAAATTATTTAAAAAATTTAATGTGTATAAAAATTAGTTTTTTAATTATTGATTATTTGGAACGCTATTTTAATGTGTTGTATTTCTATGTTATAGAATCATGTAACCACGTAGCTGATAACTCCACTGCTGCGCATCAGTCGGTCTTTTATTGATACATGCAGCCATCTCGGTCGTGAATCGCGATCAGACCACTAACCGATTAGCGAAGATGTAAAATATAATGGAGACTTTTCACGGCTCTATACTGACAGGTTGAAGCATCGATCAGTGAGTGACAAAGATTTTATCAGGTAACAAATCTGTGAAAAATGTACAGGTATCATTATAGTAGAAATGAATATAACGCTTTATAAATCTTACTTTAAAATGGATTAGCTACAAACGATTATGATACATATTTAATCTTGGATTCTATCATTATTTGTCAACTTGATCAGCGTGGTTATTGTGCATGAGGCTATTATGTTTATACCCGGAAAAAAAATGTTTCATATATAATTATATTAAAAATTGACATATTTTCTATACAATTATATATAATTATTATAAAATATATCTATAATATATATAATATTTTTTCCCGGATATTCACAAATATACATATAAAAAAAGAGAATGAAATAGAATTCAATGATGAATTAATGCTATAAATAATATAATATTAATAAATCAAGTAAGAACATAAATCTGTTTAATTTTATTGAATTATTAGATTCACACACATTAGAAATAATTAAATTTTTTAATTCAGAAGAATATCGAACAAAAATTCCTTCCTTTACTAACAATATTAATCAGAAAAAATATTTATATACAAAGTTACATTTTAATAAAAATAAGCTTAATGGATATAAAAAAAGTTATTGAAATAATTGGTTTTTAAATTAAAATTGATGAAATAAATAATGAAGAAGTAAAGAAAAAATAAAGTTTCATATAAACAAAATATTATGAATTTTAAAATACAAATATTTCCACAGATTTTTTATTTTTAAATTAGTACAGGATATTCACATATTCAATATATATGACATAAAAATAAAAAATATTTTGATACAGGAATAATTACACCTATAATTAAACGAGTTATGCATTTATTTTCCTTAATTCCATTCCCAAATATTTATCCAAGATTAAATATGCTATAAATTGGTGTATAGAAAAAATATGTATATTTAAAAAAATATTTTTTCAATACGTATAAATGAAAAAAATTGTTCTTCTTTACAAGAAAAAATACAATAATGTTATTAACGACTGACTAATCTTATCTTACACATGTACATATGTATATACGTATTGCATATACACACACACGCGCGCGCGCGTGTTTAAAATGCAATACATATGACTAAATAATTAATTCTTGAACACACAGCATCAATTTTAACATAATAGATTGTAGCTTATATTTGGTTGATTGACAAAATAAATTTATAACAAATAAAGCAAAATAAATGACATAAAATTCCATAAGTTAAATAAACAAGTATGATAATGCTCGATGATTTGCAAAGCAATACAAAAATTCTGATAACGATTAACAAACGAACAAAAAGAGATGTTAGAATAAAAATACATTAATCATAATTAATACATAAAAATTCCGCAACGTTTCAACTCACAGAGTCTTTATCAGTCCGGTATAAATACAATTATATTAAATAAAAAATTAACATCTACAGTCTAATATATGAGTATGTCGAAATGAGATAATATTATAGAAATATCATTCATCCTTTTCAATTGTTGATGTTACCTCATTTCGACATATTAGACTGTAGATATTAATTTCTTATTTAATTTAATTGTATTTATACGTACTGATGAAGACTCTGTGAGTTGAAATGTTTGCGGAATTATTTTTATCTATTAACTATAATTAAATTATTTTTATTCTAACATTTCTTTTTGCTCATTTGTTGGTCGTTATCAGGATTTTCCCATAAGTTACTTGTCACGGAACACACAAGAACTTTTTAAATTAAATTAACGTTTTTTTCATTAAAATTTTTCTGTAAAAAAGATACTTTCATATAATACACAACTAAATATAAATGATATAACAATGATATAAATGCAACTGATAAGGAGGATTTATAAGTCACAATGCAGGATTTTTTCGCGCAGTATCCGATTAAAAATTTGTCATGCATGAATATGTATAAACATATAAATATGTATAAATATTCATATATAATTTTATATGAAATATGTCCATACATGTTCGTACATCCTTTTTTTTTGTAAAATTATTTTTTAGTGTAATAGAAATAATAGTAATAATGTAAAAGTAATTAAAAAGTAATTTTCGCACTATTTGTTTTAGAAAACATCAAGTTTGAAGAAATATAAAAAAATTACTTGTGTATAATTATATATAAAATTATGCATAAATTATGTAAGCATATTTATGTATAATTTTTTTGACATTTTTCCAAACTTATTTTTTTCTAAAACAAACAATGCAAAAATGATTTCTTTAATTATTTTTTATGTTTTCACATTACTATTATTATTTTTATTATACTAAAAAGTAATTTTACAAAAGAAAGAAGGATATATTGACATGTATGGATACATTTTATATATAATTATACATGTTTATGAACATTTACGCGTGTTTATATATGTAATGTATATTCATGTATGAACAATTTTTTACTGGATAGTTATATTTAAATGTGCATATATACATAGAGATAATAAATAAATTATAGACGTTTCGGCCAAAACTGGGCCTTATACTCTTTAGTATGTCAAAATAATAAGACAAAAAGTGTATAATTTAAAGTAATAATGGAGTGTCAATATGATAAAAATATTATTAGCGCGATTATATATATATAGTACAAAGATTCTCACAGATAAAACATATAAAATTATCTAGTCGCTATAAATAGTTATTATGTACTGGGTCTATGATGATTTCATTTTGCCATTTCTTATTCGTTGTATCTTTATAATTATTTCCATTTCATACAAACGTTGTGCAAACATAAGAATTCCAGGCATA